CAAGAGCGGAAGCAAAGATACAAAAGACGACTGCCCAGTGGGGATGCATGCTAGTTACGAGCTGGATTGTTCATTGTTAAGACTGATTGATCGATCGATCGATACTTTGTCTAGTGCACATACACAGTCACCACTGCATCAACTCAAGTTTTGACGAGAACAAGATATCTGCTAAGTTGCACCGTCAATAAACACTAGTCTTCAACGATGAACCGGCTGAAAAAGTTTGGCAAAGTCCTCAAAAAGAAGGCTGAGGAATCCAAACACAAGGAGGACGCTGAAGTTGAACCTGAAGACATTGATGACACTGGAGGAGTGGTCACTGGAACCTTGGCCAGACCTTCCTTTACAGATTCCGGGGATGAGATCGATGGCAACTCGATGGGATCTGGAGAAGTTATAAAGCGAAGAAAAAAGAAGAAAAAGAAAAAGGCTGACGGCGACGACGATGATGAAGATGATGATGCCATGTCGACTCAGACTGGCAAGAGTAAGCGACGCAAAAAGAAGAAGAAGAAGATTATGGTGGATGGAGAAGAAGTTAGTGTAGTCTCCAGGAAGAAAAAGAAGAAGAAAAAGATCATCGTGGATGGTGAAGAGGTCAGCGTGGTCTCCAGGAAAAAGAAAAAGAAGCGTCGCCCCAAAGGAGTGGACGACGATGAGATTTCAGAAATATCGCACACGGAAAGGACCGAAAGGACAGCTCGGAGTGCCTTGAATGAAGATTCGACGCGGCAGGATGGAGAAGAAGCAGAAGACGAGGGAGTAAAGTCGTATTTCGAGTCGGACCAGGCGGACGATTCTGAAGCCAAGCCACCTGCTGTCAAAACCGAAGATAGCAAATCGATACCTGCAGCTGTGGACGATGCCGCTTCATCCGATGATGATGTATCCATATCATCGCTAAAGGACGAGACCAAAGAGGAGACAAAGAATAAAGCACCCGCTCCTCAAGCAGACAGCGAGGACGATGCGGAAGCCATGGCGGCTATTGCTAGCAGATATGCCTCATCAGACGATGATTCTTCCATCGAGCAAAGTGCGAACTTTGCTGCTCCCAAAGAGAAGGAAGACGGGATTCCAAAGGAGGAAGCTCCAGCCCCTCAGATGGATAGCGAGGACGATGCAGAAGAAATGGCGGCCATCGCCCACAGATATGCCGCAACTTCAGACGATGATTCTTCGATCGAGCAAAGTGCGCGCTTTCCTTCTGCCAAAGAGAACGGTGATCAGTCTTCCGATGATGTATCCTTGGGCCCATCTGTTGACGATAATCTAGAGAAAACCCCTGGAGACGACGCAGCGATTGAAGAGGACCAGAAGGGTAACGACTCGGATTCCAGTTCGGATGTGTATATGGACGAAAAAAAAGAAACAACACGAGACCTGGATACCACTGCTGTCAGCGAAGATGAGGAAGGACAAAACAAGGATGACGCTTCCGCCACGAGCTCCGATATGTACATGGACGATGAAGAAAAGGAAACACCAAAGGAAGCAGAACCAACTCTAAAGCCAGGTGCTGCAGAAGTAGACAAGGGTGCTGACTCCGACTCGAGCTCCGACATGTACATGGACGATGAAGAAAAGGAAGCCAAGAAGGAGATTGAATCAACTCCAGTTCCTGTCCCGATTACGAAGGAAGATGAGGACGCTGGCAGGGATGATGGATCCGATGCCAGTTCTGATGTATACATGGAGGACGAGGAAAAGGAAGCGAAAAGGGAGGTTGAATCTTCCCACGATCCTGCCCCGATGGCGAGCTCCGCTGCCAATACGAAACTACTAGCTACTATTGCGAGACTAGAACAAGAAAATGAGAAGCTCGAACAAGAACAGGAACGAGTCGTAGTTGAAAGCCAAGGCATCAATGAAGAGCTGGAAGAGCTTCGACAAAAGACAGAACAGCTCGAACAAGATAAGGAAGAAGTTAGCAAGCAGTACTCGCAACTGAAGAAGGACATTGCCAATTTGAACGAACAAAAGAACGATCTCAGTCAGGCCAATGAGAAGCTTGTGGAAGAAAAGGAACAGCTTTTGGCACAAGGAAAAACTGGTGCGGACGAAGGTGCCGAGAAAACAGGAGAACAGCAGAAACTTGAAACGAGCATCGACAATTTGACCAAGGACAAGAATAAGCTGAGTGAGACAAATGAACAACTGATGGAAGAAGTAGAGAGATTAACGGAAGAGAATGACGAGCTTGCCGGAACGAAGGAAGTATTGGAGAATACAGCTTTCAAGAAGGAACAAGAAATCGAGAAACTCGAAGTGGAAAATGAAAAGCTGAAGGAAGTAGAGCGGGATATTGCAGAGAAAAATCAGCTGGTGGAAAGAAAAAATAAAGAATTGGAAAGCTTGCGATTACAGCTTGCCGAAGCGCTGGAATCAAGTCAGCAACGCAGTCCCGAGGACGATGGCAGAAGTGACAAAAAGGATGAAGAGTTGGAACAGCTTCGAGCAGAGAACATCAAACTCCAAGAGTCTGCTGACAATTTTAAGTCAGAGAAAGAAAAGCTTGATGCAACAATGGTCGAGTGGAACCAACAGTTGGAAGATGCAGAGACAGAGTTGGAGACTCTAAGATCCAAAGAAGTAGAGGCATTAGAAATTCAACAGCAGCGGGACAATCTTGAGGAGGAGATTGATCAACTTATGGACGATTATGATAAACTCAAATCATCTCTGAATGCGCAAAAGAAGGAGAACGAAGATTTGAAGGCATCAATACAGAATTCTGGTGAAGATCCAGATGCTAGTGCGAGAATTGAAGAGCTGGAAGGGGAGCTGAAGGAAATGTCAGAAGAAATGGAACAACTACGTGAAGAAAATGGTTCTCTCAAGGGAAGCTATCGCGCAAAATCAGAAAGTGCCCAGAATATGGAACAGGATCTTTCTGTCTTGCGAGAACAGATCGCACAATTGACTCAGGAAAACGGCATCTTGAGGGAGGAATTATCCAACACGACTCCAGATAAGGAAACTACACAGCAAGTTGGTGAGCAGACTGGAGAGTTAGCAACTATGCAGAAACAGCTGGATGATGCTTTGGCAATGAACGCGAATCTTGAAAAGCAACTTCGTGCAAAGACAAATAGCACTAATGTAAGTGCCGATGGTGATCTGGAAACAGAATACAATCTCCTTCTGGAAGAAAAAGCGAAACTGGAGGATGCAATGGACGAACAGGATGATCGTATGGATAAACTCGAAGAAGTGATCATAACGCAACTGGACAAGCTGGAAGAGTTGGAGAATACTCTGGTTGCAACCGAAGATGAAATGTTTAAGGTGAGCTATTGTCGTATGTGAATCTCGAATCACACGTTATTAAGTGCTAACATAATGATACAAATAGATGGAGGAAGAGCTAAGGGAACTTAAACAGGGAGAACCACAGCACGAGCAATACATGGAAAAGAAGAAGAAGGGACGCACGGCACGCCAAGAGTCTTTGCGAATGGATCGCCAGTCATCGCAAAGGCTTCTCAGCGGGTCATCTCATGGCGCTTCGAAAAAGAATTCACGTGGCATGGGTATGATGATGGCAGTACCTTCTGAGGCTGACGAGGATAACTCTGAAGAGTTGCAAAGAGAAATTGAGAAGATGAAGGTAACAGTTCAAGTTCTAGAAGAAGATAACGAAGCACTACGCGAAGAGAAGGAACGACTCATCAAGAAACACGAAGAGGAAGACAAGATTCGCGACGAGGATCTCTTGATGATTCAAGAGGACATTGACATAAAATTCAAGAAATTGGAGAAACAAAACAAAGAGCTTAAAGCCAAGGTGAAACAACTCAAGGAAGAGCTAAAGGCATCTGGTGGATCTTCATCGGCACCTAGCGCGGGTACTCACGGAGAAAACCTTGCAAGAGAACAGCGCATCATCGAACTCGAGGAAGAGTTGGAAGCAGCAAGAAAGGTCATTGAGTTTGAGAAAACAGATGAATACCTACAACGGTTGAAGCAAGAAGTCAAGGCATACAAGGAAGGTCAACGTGACTTGAAGCGGCAACTGCGAGCAGAAAAGGACCAGGCTCGAAAGAAGTTGAGAAAGAAGGATGAGTCTATTGAATTCTTACAGAAGGAAATGATCAAGATGCGCAAAGAGGTTGAATTCAAACTTTCCAAACAACGCACGCAACGAAATGCCGCAAAACAATCCTTGGATGATATCGGCTTGCAAGAGCTCCAAGACCTTGAAGATGAGATTGCTCATTGGAAGGGTGCCAACATTGAGTTGGAGGAAGACCTTGTAAAATTGAGGGGTGAAATTTCGGAATGGAAGGACAAGGCCAAGAGTGCGGGTTACAGGGAAGATGGCGAAGAAAGCTCGGATGATGACGACAATGCTTCAGTCCATAGCTTCCGTAGTCGGCTTTCTCAGCTTTCTAAGCCACTGACCTCAGTAGAATCGACTGCTGCGGCGTCTAACTTCTTTAATCGTTCGCCAGGAAAGTTCTCAAGCGGCAATTCAACTACAAGCGGGGGAATTGGTCTGGGTGGTTTGTGGAACCGGATGACAGCTCCACAAGACCAACCGAATGCAGCTCCATATTCGTCGGGGATGTTGGACGATTGATGAAATTGATCCTCTAATTGCTACCGTATACCGAGACTACGTTTGTTTTGTTAAGCAGTTGCGTAAATACCGTAGTAAACGAGACTGTGGTTATGAAATGTTTTTTTTTTAAGTGGTTCAGACTACTAGAGGGACTCGGTTGAGTCACAAATATTGAAAAACTCAAAACTGATGGAGCATCTCAAGACATCTAAGGAACGAAAGGAACGATGGTATTCCACACAAAAGCCTCGGTTTGTTGAGGTGAAGGATATATCAGACACAAAGGAACCATATCCAGAGGGGATTGATAGTCATATTTACGGCATTCCATGTTCATTTCTTAACAAAGACCAAGACAGACGTACTTTGTGTGACGCTCTTGAAACAAATGGGTTTGCAGTCATAACTGGGGTTGTTTCGGAGTTCGACTGTGTGAGGTCTCTTGGCATGGCATGGGATTATATCGAGGCTGCTAGTTTTGCAGAAGCCTGCTGCCGCCAGAATTCTCCCACCTCGGCGCCAGTTTCGAGGCACAACGTAGAGTCCCACTCATCAAATTTCTTTCCGCATTCTCTGGAAGGAGGGTTTCTTCCATTTTACGGTTCTGGGTATTCATACTTTGCATGGGATATTCGTGGTCACCAGAATGTGCGAAAAGTGTTTGAGTGTCTACATGGGACGTCGAACCTGATCTCGTCTATGGATGGAGTAGTTTTATGGCATGAAAAGCAACCTAGAACGGACGCTGGATGGTTTCATCTCGATCAGAATCCAGTATCAAAACCAGGCAAATGTGGAATTCAAGGACTCGTGAATCTGTTGCCCGTGTCCGAAGCTTCCGGAGGGAACGTCATGGTTGCAAAGTCGCACAAGAAATTTCCACATCACTATTGCAGTGATAGAAGGAGCAATGATTCAGAAAAACACTTTTGCAGCGACTTTTACGAACAACGGCTGAAAGAGCTGGGGAGCGAAGACTGGATGGAAATCGACCCAAACGATGAAATCATTTTACAGAACGAGGCAATCGTAACGTGTCTACTGAAGCCAGGTGACATGATAATTTGGGATTCTCGAACAGTTCACTGCTCCAACCGAGGATATGGAGATATAAACAGGAGCGGGACTAATCAAAATAGATTAGAGGAAGCAGCACATGGTTTAATTCGAGCTGCGACTGCAGTGTCGATGATGCCAACCGATTCTGTGTCGTCTACCATTCTGAATCGACGTGTTTCAGCTGCGAAGGAGAGCAGGACAATGACACATTGGACAAACCAAGTGACCCCTCTTGGCCAAGAAAACCTCGAAGGAAGTCGCCTAGAAGAACGTCGAATAAAGTTCATGAAAAATTATGAGAGGCTGACTGGAAAGAAAGCCCTTGTTAATTTTGATCACCTGTCGCGACAAGAGTTACGTCTCGTTCAAGGACAGGACGCCAATAAGGACGACGACCCACAACTATTGGCAGACAGTTGACAGGAAATACAAGCCTCGGACTTGGCACTCGAAAAGAAACGTATTTTTCTTAACATACTAAGATAGGCTGTAGCAAACTGGGGACGATGACTATCTCCACTGCTCCGTATCAGCCATCTTTCAATCTGAAATCATTGATGGGCGTCTATGCTACTGTCCATACGTCAGCCGTACCGGTATGCGCCTCTGCCTGAGACCGCAGAATCAATCAATCACCTTTGTCCCATATTCACAACTTCCACCATGGCGTCACCACCACTTCCATTCAATAGAATTTTACTTCGGTCAAGAGAAGGCCTTGAAGTCTTCACTCTACCGTCTGAGCGAGATGAAGAATCGAGCATTTCGAAAAGAGAGACCCGTAAATTCCTTTTCAAGGGCTCGTCATCTTTTCACCAGATTCTTCCAAATGGATCTGCTGCCTTTGTTCACAAGCCGGAGGTCGGAATTTTCAGGGTGAATTTGGGTGACTCCGCCACCGATAGTGATGTTCCGTTTCTGGAGAATACTGCTAGAGTTCAGATTATGGCAATCTCCCCCCAGGGGACCTTCGTGTTGACATGGGAAAGAGCACAGGAGGGAGATGCTCCAAACTTGAAGGTGTGGAACTCTGAGACGGGAGCATTCGTCATTGGATTTAGGCAAAAGGCATTGAAGCGTGACTCGTGGCCATATGTACAATGGACCAACAATGAAAGCTTCGCCTTCTTGTTGGGAACGAATGAGGTTCGTGTTTATCCAGGAAAATTCCCAGAATCAGCAAACACACGCTTTGTGGACAAGATGCAAATTCCTGGTATTACTAGCCTGAGTCTACCAAGCAATGCTGAACTCCAGGGGAAATTGCTCTTCACATCTTTCTGCCCAGGGGACAAGAACAAGCCAGCCAAAGCTGCATTGTATGAATACCCTGCTGCTGAAAAAACTTCTGGCCCGTATCCACCAATCCTTAGCAAATCACTCTATCAGGCTGAAGAAATGAGTGTAAGCTGGAATCCCAAAGGTGATGCAGCCTTGGTTAAGCTCCAGACATCTGTCGACACTTCTGGACAATCCTACTACGGCTCGACATCGCTTTTCCTCATGTCGGCCCAAGACAAGGACACAGTTGCGGTCCCACTGCCTCAAGAGGGGCCCGTTCATGATGTTGGCTGGATGCCAAATCCCTCAAAGCCTGCTTGTTTCGCTGTTGCGGCAGGAAAGATGCCCTCGATGACAAGTCTACACAACGGAGCTGACGGCACTGCCAGTTTTCTCTTCGGTAATGCCCACCGCAACACAATCGCTTGGGCTCCTCACGGCCGATTTCTTTGTTTGGCCGGATTTGGTAACCTTGCTGGCGGTATGACATTTTGGGATCGAAACAAGCAAAAGCAAATCCCCCCTGCAAACCCTGTCACTGCCAGTTGTACCGTGGGGTACGGTTGGTCTCCTGATTCACGATTGGTTTTCGTCTCGACCACTTCCCCTCGTATGAATGTCGATAATGGCGTGCACATTTACCGATATAATGGGGACAAAATGACTAACCTACCATGGGATAACAATGATTACGTCCCAAACAGGTTGTTGCAAGCAGAATTTGTTCCTGCGAAATCAATCGAGTACCCAGACCGCCCACAAAGTCCTCAGCTAAAAGACGTCAATACCCCGTCAGCTGCGGGTGCTCCAGCTGCCGCAAAGCCTGGAGGACGTTATGTACCTCCTTCACAGCGAGCCAAAGCGGGAAGAGGTGGCTCTAGCTTGGCAGACCGAATGCGCGCTGAGAGAGAAGGTGGCAGCGTGGCGGCAGGAAAGGTGAAGGGAAAGCCAAAGGTCACGGGCGCCACTGGAAAGGTCGTCGTGGGAATGGCACCTGTCGAACAAAAGAGCAAATCCGCACTTCGAAGAGAAAAGGCCAAGAAGAAGAAGGAAGAGGAAGCTGCCAGACAAGCTTTGGAAGAAAAGGTTCTCGCGGAAGCAAAGGCAGCCGAACCAGCTCAACCTGAACAAGCAGCAGTCGACCCAGAAAAGCGGGCGAAAAAGATCAATAAGATCCTGAGGCAAATTGATGAGCTCAAGCAGAGGGATCAATCTTCTTTGAATGAGGACCAAAAGAAGAAAATCGAGTCCGAAGCGTCGCTACGGGAAGAGCTTGCAAAGTTGGGGATACAATGAATCATCGTGAACAAAAGGCTATTGTAAAATGTGTTCTAATTTTATTCAATTCCGTCGAGTAGTGTACCAAAGGATGATTTCTTTACCCTTTCTGCAGTCGCTTGACGGTCACGCTCATACCAATCATCTCGATCAAGAAAACGACTGTAGGCTCCTTCGTCCTGCGTAATGTCAGCTCGCAGACTTTCCAAGAACTCTGACTCGGATTCAAGTTGGTCCACCAGATCATCCTCGCCATTTGCCCTTGCCGATTCGATGCGCTCGAGTGCCTCCTGTCGCTTGCTCTTGGATGCTCTCAGCTCCTTTGCTAGTTCCATATCTCCTTGTCTCTCTGCATCACGGATCCGAAATTGCCGTCGCACCGATTCATCAATCAATGGGATCAGCAGCTCATCCAATGGATTTGTTGATGATTCCGACTGCTGCCGGACGACCCGTGGTCTTGGAAGTCGTCCATTAAAATTGCTCATTTCCAAAAGAGTTTTCGCCTTGACCTCATTCGTCATTTCGTCGTACTCATCCAGTGACTTCACGGGCGAGTCGACGGGGAACAATGCCTTGGATTCTGAGGACATCTCGTCAAACGCACCAGGCATGGAAACTGGTGACTGGTTAGTATTACCCTGAGATTGTCGTTCCCCTTCGACTTGCAAGCTCATACTTGCATCTACAGACTGCCAGACTGCCAGAGTATCCATGATATGTTCCGTATTCTTTCCTTGTATTTTTTCCTCGCCCAACACTGAGGTCATTTCAAACAATGTGGATCCAATGCTCAATTCAACATTACATGCCAATGCCATACCAAGTGCCTCGTCGCTATCACATTCTACAATCATCATTTCTCCTCCTTTCGCGTTCGGGTTACCGTAATCTTCCTCGTAGTCATTGATGGTTACTTCTTCCCCCATAATCTTGGTGGTCTTTTTGGGTGTTATTCGTTGCAAGACAACTGCTCCTCCCAACACCACGTTTCCCTTCAAAAGACTGGTATTTTCCAAGACACAACCAATCACTTTGGCATTGAGTTGGTCCTCCAAAATTTCCTTGAGGAGGTCAAAGGGGCTGGTATAGGGTAGCAAACTACCGGCAATGTCCTCTTTGGAATCCAAAATGGGAGCGTATCCAGTGGCCCCACGATAGGGTGCAGCATTCTGTCCATCCTTGGTCGACCAGTTGACAACATTTTCTAGGATTCCTCCAATCATTGTCGCAGACGTCGTGGAGCCGACGGATCCAATCTTGGCCATGTCATTTTCCATGTTGGCAATCTTGTCTTCCAAATCCAATTTGATTTTGCATAGTTCATCTTGAGAATCAGCGTCACCAGATGCTGCAGCTAGTTCGGCTTCCATTCCCGCCAATTCCATTTGACTTTCTCGAATTTGCAGTTGCAGGATGCGAGTGGCAAGCGCCGTTTGGCTCTCGTCCGAATCCATATCATTATTGCCGCCCTTTAGTGATGGCGCTGCACCATCGTCATCATCATCACTGTTGTTGTTCTCGTCACTTTCCAACAGGTACTTGAGGCGGAGGGCGACGTTCCCAATGGCAGCACTCCGTCCTTGCCAATCCTTTCCCATGAATCGATAATAGGCATCTCGTTTGCCCGCATGAAATTTTGAATCTATTTGGTTCGACGCCGCATCCCGATTTCGTTGCTGGGGATCGACGCTCCATTTGGCCCACGGAAGATTGTCAAAGAGCGCCCCATCTCGATTCACCAAAAGACCATTTAGCGTTAGTAGCAAAGATTTGGACAATGGCCGTTTGGCTACGGCAAACGATAATAGTTTCAATTCTCCAGTCGACTTGAGTGGCAATAGTACGGATGAGACTGGAGAGGAAGAATCATTGTCTAGTGCTGCTGCTGTTGTGGACAAAAAGAGAACCGTCTGTTTGGATTCTGTAGCAGTAGCGAATCTTGTAATGTTGGAAGATACTTTCAGACTTCCTTGTCCTCTCAGATGGAGCGGAATCAATCGGCCATTGGAGGTCAAGCTGTCGTCGGCGTCGTTCTCGTTTTCGGCAAAGAGTGATTCCACGAGTTTCTGATTCTTTTTCGTTTCCTGCCACTGACCCACTGAAATTGCTAAAGAAGTGGTGGTTGTTACGGCATTTATGCTTCTCTCAGTCCTTGATGATACCGATGTAAAGGCATTTGACCGATGTACTATCAAAACCAATAATAATATAGATAGAGTATACATGGCAGCTGTGTTGGAGTTTTTGTTTCTGTTGCTTCTGTTTCTCGTTCTGTGGTTTCTCATCGTTCGTTCATTCATATTCAATATTCTTCATTTCATTCATTCGTATTCGATTCTCGTGATTCGATTTGGATCGACTAGTACGACCACAGTGACATGCCTCCTCGTGTGTATCAAATCAAATCCGATTTGTTTAACGGTTCGGACACCTACCAGACACGCGCCAGGAACCGTTGGACCAATGCTTGGGATTTGGATGCAACTGAAGGTGCACCTATCATGAACAAAAGTGCGAGTTTGTTCCAAACGAAAACAAAACAAAACAAAACAAAATTCACTTCGCCAAAACAAATACAAACGATGAGTGATGTTGGGATTCTAATGGGCGCTCGCGCCATTCTATCTCTGATAGGCTTGACCACAATGTTTGCGGGTATTTGGATCCGAGAACGACGCTGGGATGATCAAGGAGAACAAGCCTATGACAAGTACATTGCCACGGTGGATGGAAACTACCGGGGAGGAGTGGAAAGTGGTAACGGGCAAGCACCACCACAAGCATCGTCACCACAAGCAAAACCTACGGAGAATCTAGCACAGCCTTATCAGGCAATGTCGGACAAGGCAAAGAATTTCCACGACGATGGAAGTCGAGATGTCATTCAAATTAGCAGTTCGGACGCCGACGATCGACTGCCACTTCCCAGAAGTCTACAACGGGATTTGGAAAATCTCTTTCCTACTCCCATTGTTCTACTGTTGGGATGTGTCTTGTTTATGATCTCCTTGATGTTGACACCGGATGAAGGAGTTGGTTACAACAATGGATGGAACCTAACTGCCCTTTTCTTGGCCCCCATTTCCATTGCCATTTACATCACTGGAGTCCCCAAGGCAACTCTGGATCGGACACCAGACTTGAAGACACGAACTTTCTATGGAGCCTCTGGCATCTTTGTGGTCATGTGCATCATTGGATTGGTGGACGGTGAGGTCGACGCTCCATGGTATTTCTTGGTTGTTGCGGGTAAGTAGTTCCTACAACTCGTCAAACAGTGAAAGGGTTACACTATATTTCCATTGTCTTACACATACGCGCATCCGTGCTTTCCTTTCTTTCCTTTCTTTGATACTGTACAGCCATCTTTATTCCACTATCCTTCTACGTGCTCCATCAAACTCGAAAGATGGGTGCCGTCTGGGACGCCACTGCCCGACCCAACAAGGACTGTTCCTTCAACAATGGGTTCTTTTATTTCCTGGTCATTGGTGTGTATTGCCTCTGGGTTGGATTCAATGCCGTGGACATTCCAAATGGCACTCTCATGGCGTACATGCCCCTCGAAACGGGGCTCCGTGGATGGTTTGCGGCCATTGCCGGCTTGGGTCTCATCGTTCCAGCTTCCATTGCTATGGAATATGCCTTTGAAAAGGATTCCGAAGTCACTGGGGATGGACTCAGTGGAGATGTCATTACCAAACTCATGAGTGGAATTTCGGCTGTGAACACCGAGCCATTCGCCCGAGTCTTGGAAACACCCTTTATTGCTATTTTGGGTTGGATGGTCTTGGCCTTTACCCTGTACCTTCCCTTTCAAGTATTTAATCTGGAAATATTCTTTTCGAGTATTTTGGCGGCATCCGCAGGTCTTTTCTACAACCTAATGGTCCTACCAACCTACTGGACTGGAAACTTGCAAGATCACAACAAGTTTGTCTATGTCTACTCGGTCTTTATGATTGCATTCGCAATTGTGCTTGGATTGAACAGTGTACCCACAATGGTTATGAGTGTATTGGGCACTGTCATGATCCTACTGGGACAATTCCTGGACCTACTAGAGCAAAAGAAGGGAAGATTTTGGCTCCAAGAACGAATTGACAACCCAACTTTGTCTCTATTTGGAATTGGACAACCGTTGCTAGTCTTTGGATGGGTTTTGGTGTGCCAAGCTGTTGCATTGCCAATAGTAGATACATCAAATTCATTCTAGTTGGACAGATGGAAGCTGTTGGTTTGGATATGGATATGTTGGGTACGCGGTACAGTACCATTCGGAGGGTACTGTACTGAAAAGTGAAGAATGCATGGAAATGAAGAATAGAGAATCTACTGCAATACATAAAAGCACAGGTTATTTTGTATTCCAAATTCTGTTAGACTCATTCGAACCGAAAAAGCCAGCCGCGAGGTTTCAGTTTTTCGAAAGGAGGGGCAACCAACCTGATTCGCCCTGTCCGCCATTTCGAACAACAGCGAGGGCATCAAACACGGCGGTGATTGCGCAGTGGTTCCACTTTCACCACCATGTCGGAGAAAAAGCGTTTCAATATCAAGGTAAGTCCTCTGCAATGGCAGCAGTGCTAAAGAGAATGCAAAATGGCTACTAGTCTTTTGAAAGGCAGTGCCTGGTACATCAATCCCACACAGACACAGACACACACACTCAGACACGAATCTTTCAATTCTAACCGGACCTTTTTTTTTGTTCCCTTCCTGACAATGAAATTGCAACAAATCAATGTAGCCATTTCGGGCCCACGTTCCCATGGACCGGACCGTCGCGAGTCAGACTTGGGAGGCTTTGGCCAATGCCATTGATGAAATTTACAACCGCAATGCATCTCAACTTTCCTTTGAAGAACTCTATCGAAATGCCTACAATCTAGTCTTGCACAAACACGGAACCTTGTTGTATGAAGGAGTCTCGGATAAGCTATCTTCTCATTTGCTAGCTACCGTGGAACGAGTAGCGGAGGTTCCAGACTCGTCTCTTTTGGAAGAAATTTCCAAAACCTGGAAGGAGCATCAAATCACCATGATCATGGTCCGGGATATTCTCATGTACATGGATCGAACCTACATTAAACAACAACGCCGGAGACCAATCTATGAATTGGGACTTCACCTGTTTCGAATTACAGTTTGGGATCACCCTAGGATACAACCCCGGGTTACGGAACTCTTGTTGTCCACCATTGCTTCCGAACGCGCTGGACTTTTGACTGATGATCGATCACTGTTGAAGAATAATTTGGGAATGCTTCTAGAATTGGGCCAAGCAGACTCCTCGAATGTGTATGAACGTGACTTTGAAAGTCTATTTTTGGGAACAACCCAAGAGTTCTACCGTGTAGAGTCTATGGATTACTTGAGCAAGACAACGGCAACGGATTATGTTACCAGAGCAGCCAAGCGTTTGGAAGAGGAGAAGGAACGATCGGGAGCTCTTGCTCTACCAATCTCTACAGAATCTCCATTGCAAAGAATTATTCAGACGGAATTGATTGAACGCCATGCCAAGACGATTGTGGATATGGAAAATTCTGGATTTGCTTCGCTCTTGAAGGATGACACCAAGCTAGAAGAGATGAAGAATGTGTATAACTTGTTCTTGAGAGTGCCATCTTCGGTCGACTTTTTGAGAGACGCATTATCGGAAAGAATCAAGGCAGATGGCAAGTCGTTGATTTCGGATCAGGAAAAGGGCGCAGCGGATGCCCCAGCATTCGTTAAGGGTGTTCTTTCCATGCGCAGCAGATACGAAAAGATTGTCGACGTGTCCTTTCGTGGAGAAAAGAAAACTAGAAAGAGAATGAAGGAAGCTTTTGAAGACTTTTTGAATACAGATGCCAGAGCAGCTTCTTGTCTTGCTCTATATGTGGATGAAAAGCTTCGCATTGGTCTCAAGGGCGCCACTGAAGAAGCTGTCAATGAAGAAATACAAAATATTATCACTGTGTTTCGATATTTGTCAGACAAGGATGTGTTTGAAAGCTTTTACAAACAGCACTTGGCGAAGCGTCTGTTGAGCGGGAAGACTGTGGGTGACGATGCGGAACGTGCCATGGTCAGTCAATTGAAGGCTGAATGCGGCTATCAATTTACCAGCAAGTTGGAGGGAATGTTTAACGATATGAGAATCTCCTCCGATATGAGGGATGCATACAAGCAACACAAGCGGCACCAAGAAACTCAAGCTGCCGCCGCTGAGCCTACCAGCAACAAACCACTTGATATTGAAGTCGATGTATTGACAAACGGTTACTGGCCCTCCCAAAAGGTCCCACCTTGTACCCTACCAACTCAGGTTCAAGATGCAATCAAGAAGTTTTCCGATTTCTATTTGGAAAAGCACAGTGGCCGCAAGCTTTCGTGGCAAACTTCAGCGGGGTCTGCTGATTTGAAAGCTACTTTTGGAAGTGAACCAAACTACCGTCGGCACGAACTCATCGTATCAACGTACCAAATGTGCATTCTTCTGCTATTCAACGAGAAGGAGACACTGACATTGGGGGAGATTCGATCAGAAACTCAAATTCCGGATCAAGAACTGAGACGACATTTAATTTCCTTGTGCACTCCCAAAAATCGTATCTTGCGCAAGGGAAGCAAAGGACGTGGGATCACATCCGATCAAGATACCTTTACTTTCAACTCGGAGTACACTAGTAAATCCAAGCGTGTTCGCATCCCTTTGGTGAAGGAAAGTTCGGTAAAGAAGGGCGATAATGCTGGTGGTGGCGGAGCTGGTGGTGGCGCAGTTGCCAATAGAGTGCCTTTGGTTGTGGAAGAGGACCGAAGGCATCTTGTAGAGGCTTCGTTAGTCAGAATAATGAAGGCCAGAAAAACGCTTCACCACAATGACTTGATTGCGGAAGTCACAAAGCAACTGAGCGTTCGATTCACACCGGCTCCTCAATTCATCAAGAAGAGAATTGAGAGCCTTATTGAGAGAGAATACCTGGAACGCACAAAGAGGGACTACCGAGTCTATCAATATGTGGCGTAAGGTGCTACATCGAGACAGAATACTACTATTTGATTTCTATACCCATGTCATTACAGTATCCAACAGTATCCTACAATAGTACTAGTACTAAGATTAGATCTATAGCCTGAACGTTGATTGATTCATTCGACTAATACGTACATAATTTCTGCAGTAGGGGTGGGGTGCCACATGCTCTGGTTCTCTTGTATTCTTCCGATCCGCATCTGCAATTCTCACCCTCCGATAAAGATACAAATACAAATATATTATCAACAATGCTGCAAGGAAAGATTATCGTCTGGCATTGGGCTCTTCTTGGGAGCGTATTGATGGTTCTAGCCTCTTTGCCTACTGCCCATGGTTTTGTAACACCTAATTCGCCCCTGTGTCATCGGAGGTCTCCCTTATCGGCAAGCACCAAGACAACAGATGACGGCTATGACGGTCTGGGGGAATACGATCCATCAGAAGGCATCAAGCCGGAACGAGAAGTCGTTGTGGGAGACCCACAAATTCGACTCAAAGAGAAAGAAAGGGATGTCACAAGTATCCTGAGAGAGTTGGCAGCTATTCAGCAACAAGGACCTCAAAAATATTGTATTCTGGGAACACGTCACTGCTCCTACCTCCACCAACAAATCGTTGAATTGCTGTGCGTATTATGCAAGTTGAAATGGCGCATTGGAAGATGAATTCTTTCCGTAGACTCACTCGTGTTCGTCGTTTTCAGTGCATATGCTCTTGTCTTGAGTGGGAATCATGTTTTCACTTCTGGAGCTGGAGGGACAAACGCAGCAACAATTCGCGGCGCACTCAGGGCTGAAAGAGAAGACTTGCTAACAGTTGTACTGCCTCAGAGCATGGATCGACAGACAAAGGAATCTCAGCAATTGGTTAAGAAAGTGAAGGATGTTGTTACCATGCCACAGAATGATGATATGTCATTGGATATGGCCAGTCGTATCTGCAATTCCTATCTTCTGAGCCAAACAGACCAATTGATCAGTTTTGCATTTCATGAATCAAGTACTGTCATTGAAGCTACAAAGGAAGCAAAAGAGCTTGACATGCTAGTGACGACTCTCTTTCTTGACTAAGAAGCATGACAAAGAACACGACAAAACAAAACAAAACAAAACAAAACAAAACAAAACGAACCCAAGTTGCACACTCATCACCTTCGCTACTCCTGCACAAACATTAATCCTCGACCAACGGTCCACCAACGAATTGCCAAAACTACGATCAAATATGTGATGAGATCAGATTAATTGCTTTATTAAAAACTGTGCGGTTACTTGAATATAGATGGATGTTGCTGTTGTGCAATGTGTCGTTTTGCACCTTGGAATGCCACGCACTCTGACAGCGTTGTAAGGGCTGCTTCGATCTTCAGCTCATCGTCACCTTTCAAAGTCTTCACTAAACTCGCGTGCTGCACTGGACAAAACTTTGGTCCCAAGCACATTGTAAGGTCCATACTTGCTTTCATGCACTCGTCCTCGGTCTGGCAAGAGTCTACTTTCTTTTGCACACTTCTACAGCTCTTCAACGCATTGGAAAAGTTGATAGCAATTTTCTTCGCGTCAGACTCTGACATCACCATGTTTTCCAAAGACTGGCTCTCGTCAACTGGACTTTCCTTTACTGAATCTTGAATCATCTTCCACACATTTTTGGATTCTTCCACTTGAGTCGACATTTGGGCGGTACCTTTAAGGGGCATGGGAGTGAACGTTGTCTCCGCACTCCAAATCTTGTAGGGCATCTTTACAGCTCGGGCAAGTAGCTGCTCTGGACCATCTAGAGCAGGTCGAACGTCAATGAGCAATGTTGGAGATGCGTCTCTATCGTGCAATTCTGGTAGTTTTTCATTTTCCATATTTTGACCCCGAGTCTCATCATAATAGTAGTCAATGACGTAACGGACAGTTTCTCCGTTGTCACGCAACACTGTCCAATCATGGCGATCGAATGGCAGAGGGTGATTGAGTAGGTAGTGCTTGACCATGGCTTTTGGTGACAAATCAGTGGGTCGACCTGCAAACTTGAGCAGTTTTGGCTTGTTTGGGCCATATGTTTGCTTTTCCCATTCAACCACTTGAGCCCACGTTTTTTCATTCATATTATTGTGCAATGCCACAACACTTTCCATATCTTCTTCAGCGGTATCGTCACCTAGTTTCCCCTTTCTGGCTAAAGCATTGTAGAATTGTTGGGGACTGGGATAGGTCCATGTCTCGCGAGTTGAGCCATCATCTCCTCCTCCCTTTGGGATTGTGGACGAAACTCTACTTGTAGAGAGCTCTTCTCTCTGCATAGCTGTAGGTAATTGTGTCTTGACTCCCTTGGGCATTTGGTTGGTTTTATCAATTGGTTGAGAGTAAACATTGTACTTTGGGTGAACAGGGCATCCGCTTGACTCGTCTTGCTTTTGATTCGTGTCATGAACGACAGGGCAGCCCCCAGCTGCGTCATTTGACTTTGGTTTCTTGGCAGCATCTTGCTGCTCCTTTGATAATGGTTTACGACCTGAAGGGCCGTGAGCTTCGGCAGCCTTAAACATTTGTCTCCAATCAAAGCTGTAGGACCCATCGGACTTGTGCATCGGGCATTTCGACTCGGGTGCTTTCTCTGCTTCCTGCTGCTCTGCTTGCTGTAAAATTGTCGCGCTGCTCGTGGCCTCTACCGAAGGCATAACTTGTGGTGTTTGTAGATCTTTTGATTGACTGCCACCCATG